TGAGAAAACTGGTACATCAATTCTAAAACATAACATACAAAGATCAAAAAGCAGTAGTCATATAGAACAAGCCAAACAGACAAATATATGTGTAATCCTAAACCAAAAACACGCATAATATAAGCTTACATAATCAATGAAGATAGTGTTACACATAGGAATAGCACGGTTAAATCCCAAAAAGCCGAGATCTGTCAGCGTCCCCAGGGAGCCGCAGGACTGTGCCCCTTTAGGTCCACCAAACTGCCACAAGAATCCACAATGTTCCCACAGATTGCATAAGCAGGTCTGTAAAGTATAAAACATATGCATGCTACAAAGATAAATACAAGTAGTCTATTAAGGACTCCAAGGTCATAAGAGGAACAGTGGTTCTTACCCACCGTTAGATATAATATAGCCAACTGAAAAGCTCCAAAAATCATAATAGTCATCATAATAGAGCCCATCTTGGACAGGATAAAAGACAAAAAGAAGGAAAACAGCCTGCAACAGACCTAATAAAAAAGGGAAAGCTTACCAGTTTCAAATCAAGTGTGATGCCATCGCCTAAGCAATTGCATGTCAATGGAAAGAAAGTAGATTGGCACGTTGACAAAAACTTGATAATAATTGATATTTTCCCCTTCTGCATCACAGATGTTCTTCCTTTTTTTTTTTTTTTTCACATTTTCTTTTCTTCTTTACTGCTGTGGCCGAAAAAAAAAAAAATGTTGCCCTATTTTCTATTAAAATAAATAAATAAAACAGTTTATAGTGCACCAAGCACATACATATTGCACCCAAGCACTAAAATCCCATCCCACACTCAAAAATAGTTACATAAATCCCCTAAAAGAATCCCTATCAAGTCTGAAAGGCCAAGAAGGAGAGACAGATGCTCACGGGCAGCTAAGAGAGGGCAAGCAGCCTCTATGTTAACAGTGAAAAGTGGTGGTTGTGGACATGGTGTATGCTCTGCAGGCAGGGCACACTTGTCTTGTTTTCTGGTTCTATCCGTGTTATTGAGCTACAGCATGCAGAAGAGGTGGTGGAGTACATAACTAAGCCAACCTCATCCTCCGTCACCCAGGCTCATACTATTTTACCTTCCACCGCAGCTGCCAAAGCGGCCTATTCCACAGGCTCCTTCCGTTGCCCCACTATTATGCATGGAGGAGTTACTAGAATTATTTGATCATAGTGTCAATTAAATGCTGCTGGAGAATGCACAGCAATTTGAAAGCTCCGATGTTGGTTCCCAAAAAAAGGAAAGGAGTGACGTGAGCCTAGATAGAGGGGGTGCCAGTGAGGGAAGAGAAATTGGCAGTCATGTTACCCCAGCCAGAGCACATTGCCAGCATCTGCAGACTTGGAGACCTTTCCAACTGAGCATCTGCTGGGTTACCAGGTGTTGAGGATGGATCACTGGCCAGAACATGCTCAATATGCCAGCGAGCTACTTGCCTGTCCTGCATTCAGCGTGCTTTCTAAATAGACATTCAGTGCTGCTGGAGGTTTTGTGATGGATAAAAGAATGCATCTGTCCACAGACTCAAAATAAATCAGCCCTGGATCAATAGCAACTACCTTGCCCTTGATGCTGATGTAACTGATTAAATTTGTTAAGGATCTAGAATCCCTTGAAGACTGCCTATGCTGCCTATTCTATTCCTGCATCCTGATTTTGCTAGCTTCCAACAATCTTTTTGGTTTAGGTCACCACCAACACCCAAGGCCCAATTTTTAACTGCAGGGCCCATGCCTATGCCCAGCAAGAGTAACTGTGAGGGGTTACAGTGTTCAGGCACCACCAACACTCAAGGCTTTATTTTTCTACACCTTTTTGACAGGTGCATCTAATTTAAATTTTTCACCATTTTTTCTCTAACAATTTTTAAATGCAGGGCCAATCCTGCACCCAGCAATAGTAACTCTGAGGAGATACAATGTTCAAGCACCACCAAAACCTTAGGCCCAATTTTTCTGCACCTGTATGACAGGTGCATAATAATTAGAATTTTTAGAGCAGGGACCAATCCTGCGCTCGTCAAGCAGGTTTACGGTGTGAAGGCACCACCAACTGTTCAGACTTCATGGAGGTACATAAATTGTCTATACCAAGGGCATTATTCAACTTTAGTCTAAGCTGCACAGTTTGTTTTTATCTAGAGATGCACTTTATCTACAAAGCCAGTTTTTGGTAAAGATGAACTAACCCTTTGAATGAAAAGTTTGATGAGAAAGAGTGCCTTTGTGACATCTTTGAGAAGTCTTGTGAGAAATATAGTAATCCATTATCACCTCCCTAAGAAAGATGTGAGAGAACATTAATGATAAAGAGAATAAATTCATCACTCAATAATACAATACCTATCAGCAAACTGAGAAAATACATGCAAAAAAATTACATATCATATTACAGTATCCCAAATTTGCCCCACTATTACCTACTAAAAAATAACTTAGAATACTCATTATATAATGTAACAGTTTTATATCCAGGGCTTTTGTCCAGGCCACCTTTGGCAGTAGCCCTGTGCGCACTGCTATTGTGCACAAAATAGCAAAGGGCAGCTGCTGAGAGGTGAGCAAATGGGGACAGTGGAGGGGTGGGAAGGATTGTGTGCAAAGGTGAGAACTATTCTAGTGCAGAGATGAGAGCTGGAGAAGATGGCTGCAGAGCTTAACTGCTGAGGAGAAGGGGTTGGGGGTTTACAGAGAAAAGGGTGCAGAGGAGAGCTTTGGATGGGGGTTCAGAATCACACTCCCTGCATAGCACATATTTGAACCCTGCACTTTTTGCATAAGACACTCCTAAACCCTGCATTCTTAGCGTAACACGCTCCTGAACCCTGCATTCTGAGCGTAACACACTCCAGAACCCTGCATTCTGAGTGTAGCACACTCCCAAACCCTGCATTCTGAGTGTAACGTACTCGCAAACCCTGCATTTGAGTGTAACGTACTCCCAAACCCTGCATTCTGAGTGTAACGCACTCCTGAATTCTGGATACAATTCATTTTGCAACATCTTATGAAAAATTCAGTCCAAACAATTAGCCAGTAATTGCAGATTTTGGGACACGCTAAGAAATCATTCTACAAGTACAAATTCCCTGTTCTAAAGTGAAAAATAAAACAAAATATAAAAATATTCAAAGTAAAATTCATACAAAGTCCCAAAATAGTCCACCACTTTGTGTAAAATGTGTTAAAATAGTGCTTCGGGAAGCCAATATTCTCCAAATTAGCCCAGCTGGTGATGTGTTGTGAATCCCAACCCACTCACCAGACCCGTATGCCTCACATATATTATGTTCGGCATAAATGTCAGGAATGGACTTGCCAATAATGGTGGGACTCACCTGCAGTGTGGGCTGCAGTACCAGGGCTGGCCAGCGGGTGCTCTCAGCAATCAGAGACTCACCCCTGCAGTCAGCCAAACACCTGAAGCTGATTGCAGGGGTTGTATTTAAGGAATGGCCAGGCTCACAGTCAGGGCCTTGGTGTGTGTTTTTTCATGGGCCCCTGTATCTTGTATCCTGTGTTCCTGTTTCTGCCTGACTTGTTGCCGACCCTGCCTGATCCTGACCTCTGCTGACTTTTCCTGTTTGATCCCTGGCTTGTGACCCTGACCATTCTCTGCCTGACCCTCTGCACCGCGCTGCCCGTGAGTTACTGAACCCAGCTTGTGACCCCGACCACTCTCCAGCCTGTTCCTGGTACTCCGTTTGCTACTGACCCGGCCTGCCTGATGACTCTTGCATTGTATGTATTGTTATCTGTAGGTGGTTTGGTTTGGTTTGTTTGCACTGTGTTTATGTTTAGTTTTGCACTGCGTTTTGTATTGTTAGTCTTAATAAATCATATTGTTTATACCATATCTGAAGCCTGCGTTTCCCTGTGTCAGTCCACACACCTCTGGTCATACCCGGAGCCCTGACAATAAAGCACTTTGGATTAATATCTTTTCCCCAATACAGTAATGCCTGCTGTTCCACTCTATTATTTACGTTTTGAATGTTCCAAGAAATGTGGTAAGCGGTACACAAGAAACCAGAGGGTGAGGCTGCAATTTGAATATATTTTAAGTGCACACATATAATGAGTGTACTTGTCTTCACTTAACTCTTACTCTTCCATACCTGTATACAGAACGAAGGGCCCTGGAGGGGCAGATCTGCTCCAGTTTCTATGGGAGACTGATCATGGCTGAAGACATGCAGACAACATTTCCCTCTCTGCAAGAGGCTATCTCACCTGCCTCATGTACACACTTAATGATAGGCTGCTAAAGAAACCTTTGTTACCCTTAGTAACCACTTGTGTCTTCACACTGTACTAACTTTTTCCTATTGCTTACATTACACCCCTTTAGGTAGGGTTCACACTAGTGTGGGTGGAATGCACTGTGGGACCCGCACTTCGCCCCACAGTTGCAACCAGCCACACAAAATGTGGAACCCTCGATCAGGTGCCTTTAACTTTAATGGCACGCTGCCCACATTGGAAAATGTAGTTTATTGCAGTTTCCAGTGCAAGCTGTAATTTTTGGAAGGTGCAGGGACAGTCTTCCTACATTTTGTGAGGCTCGGTAGCCTATTCAAATGAATAGGCTGCCATTCCATGGCCTGCAAAACGGCACTGAGTAACTGCAGACCAAGCAAAGGCAAAATTTCAGGTAAAAGTTCAGAATAAAAGTGCAAATATTCCCTAACATCCCTAGTCCCTAACTCAGGCTTGTGGCTGCCCCAGCATACTTGCAAGGGAAAGAGTCCATCTTTGGCAAAGTCCATCTTTAGCAGAATCCAGGAAATTGCATCTTCAGGTAGGACTGCAAGTTCCAGTCTCCTGAATCTTGCTTCCTCTTATACAGACTGTGTGTGATTTCTCCCCCACTCCACTCTCCTCTGGATCCAGGCCCCCTGTCCCAGTACAGGAGATTCAGATCCAAGAAAAATCCACCAAGATGGAAAACCCGGGATTGCAGTTAACCCCTAACTTCCCACCGAGGCAGCAGTAAGCTCTACTTGCCTACAAATGTATTTGTTCCAATGTGCTGCTGATAAAAAAAAGAAATATTTAGCACTGTTTTAATCTGAGTTATAAAATATTTAAATTATTTAAACAGATATTCATAAAGACCACAAACAACATCTGATGGAGAAGACTGAGACTCTAGCGGAGCATAGACCCCCGGGAACTACCCTGGAACCACAAAGATTCCTCATCAATGAGCGTTATGTGAACCTGATTGTAATCTCCACTGATCAGTTTAGACAACGTCCTCAGCATGAGCTAATACAGACTGGGGAAAAACATGAGGAATGCTTGAACAAAATACAAACTGGACTGGAACGCATTTCCTCCAAAAAGCTGTTCCGATGGAGTCACCAGTCACAATGTGTACCACATGCAGTAATGGTGAGTGGAGTTCCAGGAATAGGGAAGACCACACTGATGCAGAAGTTTGTCTATGACTGGGTGACCGGAAAACACTACCAGATATTTGCTTTTGTCTTCTTCTTCAGATTCCGAGACCTTAATAGACTGGGATTGGTCAACTTGGAGGAGATGATTCTCCATCAATATCCACATCTGGAGGGTCAGATTGGAGATATTTTACAACATCCAGAGAGGCTTCTGTTTATTTTTGATGGATTAGATGAAAGTATTTACCAAATGGATTTCATATCAAGTAAACTGTCCAATCCAAAATACAGAACACATTTTGGTGAGATTCTGAACAATTTGGTGAGGCAGAGTCTTCTCAATGGTTGTTCTGTACTGATAACAAGCCGTCCAACCAGACTAGCATCAGTTGATACTGGTGTATTCCAGAGAATAGCGGAGATCATGGGATTTCTCCATGAAGACCGACTAATCTACTTTAATAATTTCTTTGGAAATAAGGAATTGTCAAAAAGGGCTTTTCATTATGTGCAGGAGAATGACACGCTGTACACTTTCTGTTATATCCCATCATACTGCTGGATCATCTGTACAGTGTTATCAATGTGCTTTAGAGCCCAACCAACAAATTCTGATCAGTTGATGACATTATTGCCCAAAACAGTGACACAACTCTTTGTAACTTTTGTCTCCAATATTCTGGCCAATCACAGCCAGAATAAAGATGGCGGTCACACTGCCCAGAAACTTCTGACATCTGTTGGGTGGATGGCAGAACATGGAGTCATGAATCACATGATTGTATTTGATGAGCGTCATCTGGAGTCATTCAATCTAAGAAATGATAAACATCTCTTTTCTTCTTTTATGGTGGAATCTGGTCAGTCTCCCGATGTGGATTACACCTTCTTACATCTCACTCTTCAGGAGTTTTTTGCTGCTTTAGTTCATTTTATTAACTATAGTCCTGACAAGTTACAGGAAACACTTGACAAGGCTGAATCTTACAAAGATGGCCGTGCTGAAATACTCCTCCGTTTCCTCTGCGGTCTCTCAGATTCTTCTACTAGATCCATGTTAAAGCCTCATGTGGGAGAGTTGTCTACCAAGGCTGCCAGAGATGTCATCACCTGGATCCACAGAAAAGATGGCAAACCAAAAGAACACAAGAGAGCACTCCTGAATGTATTCTACTACCTCCATGAGAGCAGGAATAAGGCTCTGGTGTCACGATGTATTACATCAAAAGAAGTTGACATCATTGATGTCCCCCTCACCCCTCTGGACTGCTCTGTGCTGTCTTATATCCTTCAATCCTGCAGAGAGACAGAAGAAGTCCATCTAAATTCGTGTAAAATTCAGAGTGAAGGATTGAGAAAACTTATACCAGCTTTACACACCATCAAGAATCTGATGTAATATGAAAAATGGATAATCACATTTCTGTGTTAAATTGAAATTATCAGATGTTTATTTAATGTGGTATTAAAACAAAAAATGTAATATCATTTTTTACCAATCATTAGATTAGATATTGGTGGTTGCATTAGTTTTCTTTTTCTAGGCTTTTTTCCTCTGTTTTTACCTGTTGATCCAGCCAGTAACACACCTCCTGTCTTGGGCCCCTTTCACACAGACGGACTGATCCGGTCCGCCTGTCAGTTTAGGCAGGCCCAATCAGTACCCCTCTTGACAGTTATGGAGCAACAGATTTCAACAAACACATGTCCATTGACACCATGCCACATCCAATCTGATCCTGTGCGCTAAAAACAGATGGATGGGGGTCTGTTCCCCATCTGTCTGGTGGAATGGATGGCAGCCGGATGGAAACAGACAAGCATTCCGTTTCCATCCAACCGCCCAATAGAGAACAGCAGGCTGTGTCTGCTCTGCATAAGTGGAATGGACACGGACCTGTCATTCACCTGCTCAGTGGGGATCAGCAGACAGATTCCCCACTGAGCAGGCGGATATGTTGCTGGAGTCTGCTCCATGTGAAATTTGCCTTAGGGTATAAACTGGATGATGGAGCAACAAAGACACCTTTGGACAGCAGCATTGTTAGTCATGGGGAAGGGGAGTGTTACAGTGTCTAAATCTGCTAGTCCATCTAACAGACTGAAGCCAAACCCCAACTAACACTCTTTAAACAGTTACAGAGACAGTTTTTTTCTTTTAAGATAAAGGTTTTACATAAATAATGTGCTAAACGGTTTGACCCAACCCTCTGCTACAATTTTAGGACAGCATGTTCTTTCATAAAACAGACTTACTGGTCAGATTACCATGCCAAAAAAGAAAACTAATTAAGCCACCACATCTAAGAATTGGTAGGTTGCAATATAATACATTTGTAATCAATATGTAAATATGCACATCAATCCACATATACTGTGAAATATCACTCAATATTAATCCCAATATAATACATAATATGTCCATAAACTTCCATAAAAATCCAAATAATAGTATCCCTTTTCAATCCATGCGTGCACATGTAATATAAATTATTCCACTTGCTGTAAATGACACTCTTTCACACTCAGTGTGAAATTTACTCCACCTCTAAGTAAATTTTAGGTGTGCCCCCTCATCTTCATGGATTGACCTAAAATATAGGTCATAGTGAGCCTTCCCTTCAGGGTAATACTGGTGGACCCTCTGGCTTTGGCAGGTACTCCACTTGCCCTGGTAGTTCTGCCACTATATCTATCTCTATAATTACCTATCCAGTGACAGCATTATCTAGACCACACACCTTATCAGCATCACTCAGTTGCTGCATCTTCACTGGCAATGGAGATTCTTCAGCGGGGGGGGGGGGGGGGGGGGGACAACAGCAGAGTCCCTACCATGGCATGTTGTGTCTCTTTTTAAGAATCAACAAGCCTCATCAGTAGTCCCTCTCAAGCTGATCCCAGCAGAGACCAAGTCTAACCAGCCGGCTCCAAAACTGAACATGCACATTTCCGAAGCCAGACGATTAGTAACCTGCTGTGTTCGGCTCGAGAGGGGATGGGGGGGCGGTCCGCTGGTCAGGTGCCCCAAGGAGGGGGCATGGCGGAGGGGACAAATGTAGTTTTAATGTACACTTTTCTGTTTACACACAGCAGAAAAATGCCCTTTCTTTCTGGAAACACTGCTTGGGGCCTCCCACAGTGGTGGAACACCAGGGCCCGGTCACAATTGCAACCTTTGCGACCCTAGTAGCTCTGCCACTGCCTACCACCCCTGTTGCTGCATCTTCCCCAACACCCTTTTTAATGCAACCTCCAGTAACAGTATTCTTGCCACTTCAATGAGACTCCACCTATAACCTTAATGACTTCATTACCCCGGGTGTCACCCAGCACCTCTGTCACCATACCATCAACTGTCAACCAACACCAATATCACAGTACCCCCTGCTCTCCACCACCACTTCTATCACTGTACCTCAATGTCAGCAAGCACCCTCAGAACTGTATGTCCCATTGTCACCCATAACCTTTGCCACTTTATCCCCCACTACTCCCCAGCAACCCTGTCACTGTACCCCCTACTGTATGGCCATGTCAATGCACCTCCCTGTGAACCAGCACACATGGATGACAATATTGGGGTGTCTACTCCATTCATTCCTGGGGGAGAAATTCATTTTCTTCTGGTAATAGTCTTCTCTTCTTCTACAGTTTGTATGATAATCACTTGACAGACAGTTCCTGCCCCCACCTGGCATCTGGAATAAGAAATAACCAGACACTGAGGACACTGAACCTGTCTGAGAACAATCTGGAGGGTCCTCATTTCAGTGATCTGATGGCAGCTCTGACAACAAGCCGGATAGAGGAATTACAGTGAGTATAACAAGACTGACTGAGACAATAATATTCTGGGACAGTTTGACATTTAGCCACATAAAATGAAAAGATATTATAATATAAAATCTCCATTAACCACTTGCCCTCCAGAGGATTTACCCCCCTTCCTGACCAGGCCATTTTTTGCGTTACGGTGCTGCATTACTTTAACTGACAATTGCACTGTCATGCAACGCTGCACTCAAATTAAATTTACATCCTTCCCCATGAATTGAGCTTTTGGTGGTATTTGATCGCCTGTTCTTTTTTTTATTTTTTCTCTCAAAAAAAGATTGACAATTTTGAGAGAAAAACAATATTTTTGACTAAACGTGTCCAGTAAAAAATAAAAAAAACCCCCAACATTTTGTTATAAATTTAGGCCAAAATGTATTCTGCTACATGTCTGTGCTAAAAAAAATCCCAATACATGTAAATTAATTGGTTTACGTGAAAGTTGTAGCATTTACAAATGGTCCTATATATACTGGGATTTTTTTTTTTACTAGTAATGGCGGCGATCAGCGACTGCGGGACTGTGGAAAGCATTTTGACACTGGGGGGAACTAACTTGGTGTCACTGACATCTCCATTTACACCAATACAGTGATCAGTGCTAATAAAAAGCACTGACACTGTACTAATGGCACTGGGTAGGAAGGGGAGAGATGCTCAGTAATCACCGGGCACCGGAGACTAATCACCGACTAGGACCAGGTGATTGACAGCCACGGCCATGCTTGCCCTCTACTCAAAATGGCAAAATCATGTATATGTGTGTGTATATATATATATATATATATATATATATATATATATATGTGTGTGTGTGATTTTCCGCACCCATTAACTGTGTGCTGTTTTACTGTGTGCTTTCTACTGTCAGCACACTGCTTTGTATAGCTCTCATACAAAGCAGTGTGCAGGAGCTGGCAGGGGACAAAACTGTATTGTTTGCATACAGGTCTCTCCACCATCCGTAATACTCAGAGATTGCCGAGTGCAGGTGGGGAATCACCGGCCGGGATCTAGTGATTGACAGCCGAGGCTGCGAATGGCGGTACAGGTAGGGCACACGCACCCCCTTACCGGGTGTGCAAAATCAAGTATATATATGTGATTTTGCACACCCATACCACCCTGTAGCAGTATATCTGCTATAGGGCGGATGAGAAGTTGTTAAATAGTCAATCCCAAACTGGTTAATTATTGAAACTTATCTGTCACATACCCTGGTTGTAGGCTGAGTTGACGAGAGGGCTTCCCTTGTGACTCTGGTCCAAGCACCCCTGAATGTGGTGATAGAGGTACAAGGCTCAAAGAAACAGGTGCCGATAGCTTGATAGCAGGTGACTGCCACAGTCAGGGATGTAATCAAGGTGAGCCAGGGTCATACACCATGAAACAGTGGTGTGGTCAGGAGGCAGGCTGGGGTTGGTACCAGATTAGAAAGCAATGTGAAGTCCAGTAGCAAGCCGAGGTCTGCACCAGATCAGGCAGAGAAAAGTCATGGGCAAGCCGAGGTCTGAATCCAGAATCCACAGAGCAAGGTTAGGAACAAGCTGGGTTAGCAATGGAAGATCAGTTAGCACAAACAGGAACAAGGACCACAGAAGGCTTAAGAACATCCAGCATTTAGTACACAGCAGAATGTCCTTTAAATAGGCAGCTTGGCGCCAAAGCGGGAAGACATGGGCGGCGATGGCGCAGAGAAATACGCCTATGTGTCAGTGCATGCTGGATTAGCCTGGACTTGTCTGTGTGCTGGTGCACGAGCATTAGCTGCAAGGGAATCAGCAGTAGCTGCACTAGAATTAGCATTAACTGTAGAAGAATTAGCCTTAGCTGCACTAGTTTCCTGAAATTATCACACTTATTGGCTATGAAAATGTGCTGTTTTCTTCTAAAACTGTGTATGCAGTCCTGGGTCCAAAAGGGTGTAGGTCTTCCAATCCTTCATAGTAATCTGGACCAAGCAAGAATGGTCTTTCCTGTTCAGACCCCTTTTGCACATTTCTATCACACCCCAAAGATTCACAAGAATGCCAATGTCACGGATCTCAAGTTTCTCCGCGGCGCACGGGTCTGCGCATGCGCAGAATCCCGATGCGGACAAGCGTGCAGGTGATAGGACATAGGCGCCCGCGGCAACAGTTACGGCCGCGCACGCGGTTGCGCACCTGGCACCAATGACAGCACAAGGCGCACTATTTAGACCGGCTCTTGCAATGCTCAAATTGCCGTATGGTCTTGTTCCCTGCTTATCCTGTTCCTGTGAGAGTATCTTGTTGTTGCCGAACCCAGCCTGATCCTGATTACTGCTGACCGTCTCCTGCCCTGACCCCTGGCTCGTCTTGACCATTCTTCTGCTTGTTCCTGATTGTCCGACCTCCTGCTGTTGAACTTGGCCTGTGACCCGTTTATCCTATGCCTGCTACTCTGTTCCGTTCTGCCTCCCCTGTTACCGTCCCGACCTGTCTGACTCCGCTACTGCTTCACTGTGTGTTCCGTCCATCCATCCTGCACGGATCCATCGATTACTGCCGAGGCCTGCTCTGCCTCTTTACATTGGGCTCTTATCCAGCTACGTGCCACTGGTGGTTCCCTCTACTACAGCTGGGTGTACCCAGGGACCGCGACCTGGTCTCAGCCTGCTCCAAGTCCATCCCCACCATCAGGGGCTCTGGTGAACAAGCAGACTGGGGCTTAGACTCCATGCCCTGGGAAATCCCGGTCTGTGGATCCATAGAGCTATCGTCAGTAGGTACTTGACAGCCACCAACCCTCCCAGTAGACCAATTATTTCAGGGATAGACATTCTTACCAGCAATCTTGGAAACTATATAGACTATTTTTTACAGGATTTGGTAGTACAACTACTCTCCTATGTCAAGGACTCATGACACATATAAGAAATTCTGTCAAGCTACCAGTGGAAGGAAAGCAATAGGTGGATCTCTTTGGACGTAGCATCATTGTACATTATTGAAAGTTAACTCCCTACACCCTTCCCAAATTTTATTTTTGTTGAAGTGCATAGAGTTTACCCTTCACAGGACATTTCTACAGGTAAACCAAAAGGCACAGCCATGGGGGCTAGGTTCGCCCCCAGCTACGCCAATATTTTTCTTGTTCAAACATTTTATTGAATATCAGAAGCAAAAAGAAACAAACTTAGGACAATTCAAGTGCACAGAAGAGAATAGGTAAAAACGTTGTCCTGCAGAAACGGGGGAATAACATAAAAAAGCACATTACATGGAACCATAAAATAAACATGAAGGGATATAATAGTATAAAGGCAGGTAGGAACAGAATATACTTCAGAGAGGGAGCTGTGCTCCATGTGAAGGTTCCATATGAAACAAGGGGGGTGAGACAGGGAGGAGCAGAAAAGAGGGGGGGAAAGTAGGAAGAACGGCAAAAGAAGTAGGGGAGGGAAGGAAAGGGAGTGTGACTTCCAGACGAGAATAAAGAATATCGAGGCCATATCAGTGAATAGCTTGACATATAAGCTAGCTACAATATGAGATTAGGAAATGTCAAGGAAGGAGCAATGAGTCGTCAGTTTGGTGGGAGGAACCGTTCCACCCATGGGGTCCATATCAACAGAAATCTAGGAAAAGTGTCTAGGATGGTGGCGTCTACTTTGACGTGAATCATAGCCTGCGTAACTTTTGTTCCTAACTACTAAGATACACAGGGATGGAGACTTCTACGATTTGGCCATAATCTGCTTAGCTGCAGTGGTAACTTGCAAGAGGAGTTTAAATTGAGACTTGGAGACCCTGGGAGGGCATAAATTTAGGAGGGCTATAGTCGGGTCTGGTGGAATTGATTTTACAAAGAGCAGGGATAACATATGGAAGACTTCAACTCAAAAGGTTTGGGCTACTGGGCAGGTCCACCAGACATGAAAGTAAGTTCTTACCATCGCACAACCCCAAAAACATTCAGAAGGATAGCTGGGGGTGTATTTAGCAATCCTCGTCAAAACCAAATGCCCTCGGGTCAAGGCTGTATAGTTAGTCTCTATGGCTACTACATTTTGTGAAGAGGACTTAGTAGCAGACCAAATGCGGTCCCATTCTGCAGGGTCCAAATGATGGCCCAGATCCGTCTCCCATCTAGTGACATAGGAAGGGAGAAGTGGGGACTCAGGATCAGACAGGAGGGTGTAGATATCAGAGATAAGGCCCTGTCTATGGGGATCCTTATTACAAGATCGTTAAAAGGAAGACATTGAACAAGCTGTGGGTATGGAGTAGGTTAGCCAAGGTCTGAAGGATCATGGGGAGGACCAGGCTGGAGGGGAAGGCCAGGTTTCGAAGATAAGAAAGCAGGGGATTATGTGGCGACTTAAGGGAGTAGTGGGATTTTAGCTTGTCCCAGAGTGAGATATAATGAGATGTTACAGGATTATGAAGCGGACAGCGATCTGACGGCAGTAGCCATAAGAGGTTAGCAGTTGAGAGGGGGTTACGCCAATCTTTTTATGGGCTTTTGGGAGCAACATCATATATGGAATCACAACCTATTTGGTGCAAACCTAGTGCTGTATGCTCGCTATATTGATGACATCCTCATCATTTGGAATGGCCCTCTGAGTACATTGAAAGAGTTTATAGAATACTGTCAATCAAACCAATTTGGCATCGAATTCACACACTTTGTTGAAGACAATAGTATAGTCTTTTTGGACCTGGAATTTAGAGTTGGACCATATTCTCATAGTGTTCAAAACTCATTTCAAGCCTACAGCAGGCAACTCCTTCCTGCACGCCATGAGCCATCATCCCCACAGATGGATAAAAAAAATGTCCCTCTGGGACAATTTTGCAGGTTAAGGAGTACTCATATTCTAGTGGAAGACTATGATGCCCAAAGCCTAACTTTGAAAAACAAGTTTCTAGAGAAGGGGTACACAGCCACAAGCTTAAACAAAGTGTACAATAAATATAGAACTGAATATTTCAGTTTCAAGCATATTGAGACTG